ATAAAATTTTGTAAAAACTAAAAACTAAACCTTGAAAGAAAAATTGTACGGGGTATTCAAAAATGTTTTAACTGCTTTAAAACCAGAAGGTTTTTTAATAGTTTTAATAATTTTTTACTCTTTCTTGAATGTTTGAAATAAATATTTAAATAATAATTTATAATTTCCCTTTGTTGTAATTTGAAACCAGTGTTTTAATACAAATGCAAAAAAAATACGGAGCATCAAAATCGTTTAATTGCTTTAAATGAGGATAATAGATAAGAAACGTATCAAAATTTTTTGTGGATTTATTATTTTTTTCGTCGAATAAAAATGTTGGTAGCGCGTTTGATTCCACCGAATTCAAATTAATTAAAACAGTTTTTTTATTTTTATTTTTTTTAATTTTTTCCAATACCTGTTCAAACTCCCTGTCCTTATGAAATTGCAACATGTTCTTGTAAACACTCGTCTTATCATCATTACTGGACGATAAGACTGCTTTGGCCAAGAGCGTCTTATAAAACTGCGTCGGCAACAATAACTGATTGTTATTATAACTGTCCAACTTGTTAACAAAATCGTTGTATTTCAAGCCGGACTTGTACAAGCCCGTCCCGGTACTGATGACGCTTTCGTTATTATTCGAAACGGTGGCACACGAATCACTCGAATCCGAACTGTCCATCGGATGGTCCTCGACCTGTCTAACCGCCGTCATTTTTACAAAAATATTTTTGTTGAAAAACTTTTTAGGAACTTTGAGGAACTTTCGGTATAATTTTTGAGTGTGATTTTTTTCTCTCAATTTGAGGGCGTCTGCGTCTTCCGCCTAGTCCAAGCGTCACGTGTTCGTCGTCCCATGACGGCGTCGACAATTAAAACGTGGCGTTAATGAGTGGTGGGGCGGCGAGTGGGGCGGTATCTGGCGCGCCCCCGCTTCACACACGTGTTTTAATTACTCGTCGGGCGCCCTCAGGCCGGCCCTGCATCCGCGCCGCGACGACGATGCACTTGTTAGTTCAGGAGTTTTCCGTCGACTGAAGTGCGGCGCCCGCCCGAGAACTGGGGCACAGAAATAAGAAAGAAAAAGAAGTGCAGCGCCGAAGAAAAAATTGTAAAAAAATTGTATGTACATACACGCGGAAGTAAGTATCGAGCGCATATAGAGTTTTAATATTGATTGGTTATGGTCTCGGGGTGCATAAGGAAGAATGCGGCGGCGGCGGCGGCGATGCACCGCCTCCGGGGGTGCAAAAAATGGCCGCGGACACGTGACGATTAACCGGTTAAGAGCGGTTAATTGGGGGTGGTGGAGGCGGCGAGGGGGGCTGCATGTGCAACGCGCAAGACGAAAAAAGCAAGAAAACTGCATTTCGAGGAAAACACATAAAAATATATAACATCCGATGCGCTTTATTTGGCCATTTTTCCGGGGGCGAAACGAGAAAACTTGGAAGGGTGGGGGCGGCGGTCGAGACGCTGCTTCTTCCACACAAAAAACTATTCCACACAGAACCGAAACTAATTTGTTTACGCAATTAACACAAAAATTAAGTAATCGAGTTGGCTCTAAGCCCACTTGATGACATTTTAAATTTTCACTGTTTGTATTTCCGTTCCTTTGGAGATGTTTGTACGTAAATATTTACCAATTTTTTTTTATTTTCTTATCTTCACCGCCAACCACATTGAGCGACATTGTGCAATAAGTGATAAGGTGATTTTTTACAATTGATTCAAAAATTATTAATCAATCGATAACAACTCTGTTTCTCTTATTGGACTATTCACAATCAAAAGTTTTTGACGCCATCTTGAAAAATTCGGCAACGCCTACTAAGATAAAATTGAATAATAAGTACTCAAAAAAGTGAAGAGAATTAAATTAAAATATTAAAGCAACTTAAGATTGTATCATTTTTCACGGTTTCCGGATTTGGGTGTACACTCAGCGTCAAAATTAATGTAGTGGAGTACTAAACCCATAGTAATGAAAGGTAATAAAAATCAATCTGAGATTAAATTTTCCGGTAGGTGTACATTTTAACAACTTAATAATCACAAAATATAATAAAAAAGCCTCAATTTCAATTTTTGAACAAATAATCCAAATTAAAAAAATGAAGGATATCAGTGACCAAATTTTTGAAACGCTGTTAAAATCTTGACATTTTATCTTGAATTATCAGTTTTAGGTTATTTTCAAGATTTTTGCAAAATTTTTTATGCTTCTCAAAATACAAATCTTTATATTTAATACGGATTTTTCAAAATGAAACGTGAAAGTTGTAATAATATGAAAACAATTTATATGTTTTAAGTACAGGACCGCTAAAATGTATGGTTATAGTTAGATATTATAAAAACTATTCATCAAAAATTATTGAAATTTGGTATATACTTAAAAGTATTTAAACTCCATGATATCAGATGTTATCAAATTTCTATCTCTATTTGCTCTGGGGATACAAAAGCTAACTTGATTTTTTTTTGTGGAAACAAGAGTCAAACTTAATATTTTTAAGAAGAGCATTTTTTTCTGAATTATGTGATGTCACACATCCCTACCTTATTCTAATCAAAACTAATAAAATTTTGAAAAATGTAAAATTTTGTTAGGCTTGGAAATGTTGTATTAATCTATCGTTAGCTCTTTGCCCCTTGAACTTTGACCAAAAAAATTAATAAAAGTTAATAATAATTGTTAAAATAACATTTATTTTAAATGAAAAAAAACACATTTTAATTAAAAAAAGCTTAAACACGAAATACATAATTTTTATGCTCCAAAAGATGTTCAAAACGATTTCCATTGACTTGAGATTTTATATAAGCTCAGTTTCATTTAAATGTACCATTCTTAAATTAATTATTGCACACAAGTTTAATTTTTGGTTAATATGCAAGTGACAAATCGCTAATAATAGCAATTTCAAACTTAGTTTTACTTTTCCAGAATTACATTTTTCAAATTTTATTTTTTTACCTTTTAGTAAAAATAAAGATGGGCATATGTTCCATCACTGAATTAAGAAAAAATGTTTTTTTTTAAATTATTAAATTTGACCTTTCGTGCCATTAAAAAAATCAAGTTAGCCTTGTATTTTCAAAATAAATGATGATAGAAAATTGAAAAAGATCTCAGATGATAGAATTTAAACACTTGTAACCGTTTCCAAAATTTCAGTGTGCTCTGCTAAACTGTTCTGAAAATATTTAGCTGTATCCATACTTTTTAGCGACCCTGTATAACAGATATTCGTATTCACAAAAACAAAATGCAGAAATGTAGAAATTTTATCTTAGAATTCACACTTTTATAATTTTCTCAAGATTTTTCTCGAAATTTTAACATCTTTTTTTACGACTCAACATTGTTTTCAAGATCCAAACCTTGAAATTAAAAACATGTTTATTTATAGAAATATCTTGAAATTGTATTTATTATTGTTTTGTTTTATTTTTATTCTCTCAATATTTTTTTTTTCAAAATTTTGATATTTGNGATATTTGAACTCCTCTCTCTATATTTGGGACGACATTACAATCTTAAAACTACAGAAAAAACTTTTAATATTACAAATTACAATCTTGAGATAAAAAGTCGGCAGTCTAAATTAGTTCTTTATTTTTATAAAATGTAAATCTTTAAAAATGTGGAAATTTTCAAATTCAATTTTGTTTTTAATACCTATCTAAATCTTGAAATTAAGAACATGATTCTTTATAATAATGTCTTGAAATTTTATTATATGCCTCTTATTTTATTTTCGAAATCTTGCTAAAGCTTTTTGATATTTTGATATTTAAGATTCTCTTAAAATATGAGACAACGTTACGATCTAAAAAGTAGGGAAAAAAACTTTTAATATTACAAATTATTATCTTGAAATAAAGAGTCGGCAGTCTAAATTAGTTCTTTACTTTTATAAAAAAGCATTCTTAAAAATGTATAGATTTTATCAAACTCAAATTTGTTTCCAAAATCTAAACGTGAAATTAATGACAGTTCTTTAAATCTTCATAGCCAATACCTTGACATTGTATTTTATTATTGTTTTGTTTTATTTTTAATATATTAATATATTTTTTTCAAAATTTTGATATTTGAACTTCTTTCCCTATATTTAGGAAGACATGACAATCTTAAAAAACTTCAGAAAAAACCTTTAATATTACAAATTACAATCGAAATAGCAGCAGTCTAAATTAGTTCTTTATTTTTATAAAAAGGCATTCTTTAAAAATGTAGATTTTACCTTAAAATTCCAACTTATTTTTGTTTCCAAGATCTAAACGTGAAATTAAACACATAGTTAGTTCTTTAAATCTTCACAGATAGCAATATCTTAAAATTTTATCATACTTCCAGTTTTCTTGAAATAAAAGATAAAAATTACGTCGAATTAAAACAAGAATTTTGCATTGAATTATTTCTGTAAACAGTTTTTATAAGATGTCAATATTTTTCTACTAGAAAAACAAAGACAATTGATTAAAAACACCCCGTTCACGGCCTACTACGTTCCACAGAAACAAACAATTTTGAGCCTCTTGATGGACCTGTTGCTACACTTTGATTCCCTTTCCAGCTTTTAACCCTGCGTAACCTCGATCATAATTAACGCTTTATTTGAAATTATAGTTTCACAAATTTTATTTTCTCTCAATTACGATAAAAAAAAACCTTCCCGTTTCGTGAGAAAAAATCGCGAATTAGTGATTCCATCGACGACAAACTGTTTGTTCAAGAGTCATTAGTCGTCGAAAGGGTCGAATTTGAATATCTTTCACCCTTTTTTATTACTTATTACCTGAAGATGGGCACGTACCGGGCTATTTATCCGCACAACGGCCCATTGTGAAGGGGTGAAAGACGACACGCCGCTGAATCTTTTCATCGGACGTCTTTTGTGAGCTTTTGTCGAACCAAATACCGCAAGATATTCAAATAGATTTTTATAAGTAAACATCTAATAAATTTTTATTGTGGTTTGTGTTTTGCTGGGCGTGCATATTTTCTGATATCTCTTCCGTGTGAACGAAATTGGCCGTGATTTAACAGGGGTTGTTTATTTTCTAGCTTTCGAAACGGGTCTTTTAAAACGAATAGAAGAGCTTATCAAATAAGAAGATAAAGCTTGATTTTAGAGATTTTTGTGAAAGCTGGCAGCATTGATTGTCATTTGACCGGTCATTGGCGTTGTTACCAAATCTTAAAGCAGCAAACTGAAAATAAATATACAAGAGAAAAAAATCTAATTTTAACTTTCTTTCGTCCGTTTTTTGCCCGTCTGTATTTTTATTAAGGGAAAATCTACTTTGCAAGTTTAATTTTCTCCCCTAAAGCAAAAATATTTCTTTAGAAAAAAATTGAGTGTGTTTGAATAAATGCGTGAAAATTTAATTGAATAAATAAAAAAAATTGTTGCTGTGTTGGTTATAAAAAATAACACAAAGTCGAATACTCTGTCTTTTCTGAGTTATTGTTTAGAGAAAAGCTTTAAAACCATTTAAAAAGACGGAAAAATAGAAATAAGAAGTTATTCAATAGAATTGAAGAAGTTGTGAATAAATCTTGTAATAAATTTTTAAAATTTTTCTATTTTGTTCTCGTAATCTTTAAATTGTTTCTCAAGATCCTGAGATTTCATATCACAACCCGTTAAGAAACCACAAAATCTTAATCTTGATACTTAGCTGATAGAAAACAGTCATTAAATATTAAATTTCAAGATTTTTATTTTGAAATGTCAGATGAGGAATTATTCAGGATTTACCTACAGAATTTAAATCTTGAAACAAAGACATGAGTCTTGAGATAACTTCACAAGAAATGCACTATATCCAGTTTCCAGGCAACAGAACAATTAACAGTCACTTTGGATCTTAAAATTTTCATCAATTATTTTTAAATCCTCATTCTTTATCTT